CCTGGTTCTGCGGCCCGGCGTGCTGCTCCGCGGGTGTGGGGTGGGATTGCTGGCGGGTGTGTCTGGACGAGCAGGGCGTTCGGGACGCTCAGGACGACGGGGCGGTTTGGGTTGGGTCTGCCATAGCGGCGAGCTCACGCCGTGCTGCGTGTGCCAAAATGGAGAGGTCATCCTGTAGAGTGGGAGCCTGCTCGACTTACACGAGAACGTAACTCAACGTCGATGGAATTATCAACGAAAGGCACAACGGAATCGAGGGAACACCTCGAATAGACCTCGATATCTCTCCACACGATTGACTGCAGAGCATCCACGACATGATGTCCTCGAACTCGAACGGGGGTGTTGAACAGTCATATCTGCCCTCTTTGTGGCCCTCTCCCAACACCTTTGTCCGTAGGGATGACCAAAATCTTGAACAGTGTGCCCATCCACACCCATAGCCCGTTCGCTAGTCCATCGCTAGCCCGGTATCAGCAGATGCCCTTGGTGTGCGAGACGGCATCCCGAAACCTGACGAACACCCGTCGTATTCATTGGCCCGCGCGGACAAGGGAGAAGCGAAGTTGGCAGTCCAAGGGTCGTCGGGACTGAGACACAGTCTCACGCTCCAACGAGGGGCGGGTTCACCGTTTCTGGTGTCCTCGAGTCACATCATTGGACAAACGGCGTATCTCTCCCTTCGGATCCCTTCGGCTGAGGTGGGCATATAATGCTGGAGGCTGGACTCCCTGGATGGCTGGTGGATGGTGATAGTGTGCAGCAGGGCCGGGAGGGAGCCGGTGATAGCTTTTCTCGACTGCGCTGACGATGACTGAATCTTGTTTGATTCAAATTTCTGAGGCAATCCGCATCTTCAGTGGGTGATCGGCGAGGAGCTGGTAGAACATCGGGACGAGTTATTATCTGCCCGGCCTCGACTAGGCACTGCCGAGAAGCAGGGAATCCGACACCGGATCCCTTGTGATCGGTCCATCAACCCGAACAACGCTGCTATTATCTGGTTTGCGTAAAAATAGAGTGACACCTCGTCTTGGCCGCTCCGATTGCGACTCGATGATCAGGCGTGATGCAGCTCACTAAGCATTCGGCATCGCGATCTGCTTCTTTCTTGTCGTGATGGTGGTCTAGGAGCATCAGCTGAAGGCCATCCCAGCCTCTTCCAAAAAGGCTTGTGAGGTGATTTTGTCTCGAGAGCACAGTCATCAACCGTCATCTCTCGACATAGGTTTGCTCGAGTCTCTCAGACTGCGACAAGCCAAGACCTTTCAACATCACGATGTGATGAAGATCATGAAAGAGGATGAGTGTGAGCAGGTAGCTTGGCTTGCTGCCGGGTAATAGGCCTTATCTTATCGGCCACCCAGCACGGTTCTTCAGCCAGGATACGTACCTAATTTCCAGGAAATCAGGTCGCTGACCAGAAGATCAACATCTCCAGCTTCCCAACCTCACACGAGATTCCACAGCGCACGACGGCCAATTGCTCAACCACCGCCGTCCGCCAGCAGCCTGCTCAACCTCTCTTGACCGTATCATTCAAACACGTGTTCAATCATCCATAGCCGACGACATCCACGCGCCGCGCCCGCAAGGCCCGCACCAACCGACCCGGAAGCTCTCTCTTCCAGCTGCTCGATCTCGCAAACCCCCCTCCATCCTCGCGAACAACCCACCACCCCGAACGCCCGCCATGGCAGACACATACACGGAAGGGCCTCCGGCGCCCCTCGCAGAAGTCAAGAAGCCCAAAAAGAAGAAGGTCCTCCTCATGGGCAAGTCCGGCTCGGGCAAGTCCAGCATGCGCAGCATCATCTTCAGCAACTACATCGCCCGCGACACCCGCCGCCTCGGCGCCACGATCGACATCGACCTCTCCCACGTGAAATTCCTCGGCAACCTCACCCTCAACCTCTGGGACTGCGGCGGCCAGGAGGCCTTCATGGAGAACTACCTCTCCCAGCAGCGCGTCCACGTCTTCTCCAACGTCGGCGTCCTCATCTACGTCTTCGACATCGAGTCCCGCGACATCGACCGCGACCTCGCCACCTACGTCTCCATCATCTCCGCCCTCCTCCAGTTCTCCCCCCAGGCAAAGATCTACGTCCTCATCCACAAGATGGACCTCGTTGTCCCCGCCCACCGCGAGTCCGTCTACGACGACCGCGTCCGCGTCGTCCGCCAGAAGACGGCAGAGTACGCAAACTCCATCGGCTACCTCTCCCACCAACAACAGCAGCAACAGGCAGACGACAGCAACGACCCCAGCAGCCCCCTCCAGCAGCCGCCGCAAACGGGCGCCTTCGACATCACCCCCTTCGCGACGTCCATCTGGGACCAGTCCCTCTACAAGGCCTGGGCCAGCATCATCCACGACCTCGTCCCCAACCTCGCCACCATCGAGCGCAACCTCGCCAACCTCGGCGTCGCCATCGAGGCCGAGGAGCTACTCCTCTTCGAGCGCACCTCCTTCCTCGCCGTCTCCTCGTGGACCTCCGAGGAGGGCCAGCGCAACCCCACAGAGGACCGCCTCGAGCGCATGTCCAACATCATGAAGCACTTCAAGCAGACCATCTCCCGCTTCACGGGGACCCCGCGCAACGCCGAGCAGTTCGTCCGCATGGAGCACAAGGCCGGCACCCGGTTCAACCTCTTCATCCTCAAGTTCACGACAAACACGTATCTGATGGTCGTCCTCCCGCCCGGCGAGGCGCGGTTCAACGCCGCCATGCTCAATTGCCAGATTGCTATTGAGCACTTTAAGTTTCTCGACGGGCCGGCGACGATGATGGCGCACAGCGGGGCGGCTGGGCCTGCGTGAGAGGGTGTGGCTGGGGTGGAGAGGAAGAAAGAGACATTAAGAACCGTAGATCTGTTTTTTAATATTGTGTGACGCTGGGCGGCAGCCTGTGGCGCATGGCAGGGATGATTAATGATACCATTTCAAGAGGGCGTTTGAAGGAACCACGACATTGTAGCATAGCATACATCCAAAATCACATGTATACCACTTGTTCATTGAAGATATTCTTGAGTACTTCTATTTGTCGGGACGAATCTACATTCCACCCAGAGGCAAGAAGGCCTCGTACGCCCTAGCCGCACCACCCAATTGTGTGAAGGCTGGGCTGAAAAGAAATTCCAAACGCCGCCGTTACCCGCCATTTTTGAAAGACCTCGCTCAAGCCCACTTGACAACGGCAGTGCCGCCCTTCTTGAACTCGGGCATCTCGCCCAGCACCAGACTGCGATCGGTATGGTCCTTGTTGGGGAATGTCGTAGCCAGCACCCAAGATCTGGTGCGGGTGTCGGCGGAGGCGCGCTGGACAAACTCATAGACGTCATTGACAGTGTTGGTGGTGTTGAAGCGTGCGGGGAGTCTCGTGCCGTTGGGAAGCTGGATGCGGAGGGTCAGAGTTGGCTGAGACTCGTCGACGGTGGTCTGCGGGCCGGAAGAGGTGGTCGATGCGGAAGTGGTGGTGGTCGAAGCCGCAGGAGCAGCGGCCGACGAGCTGCCCTCGCCTGGGACGGGGCTGCCGAGACGGCGACCCTCTCCGCCGAAGGGTTTGTACTTCTTGGGAAGGGGGCGGTAGTTCTCCTGGTGTTGGTGAAGCTTCACGTCGACTGGCTGGTCGTAGCGCACATTCATAAGGTGAAGGGGAGCTCGGCCGGCGCGAATCATGTTCAGATCCATGGCGTTCTCCGGGTCGTCGAATCTGTGCAGTTCGCCGTCGTCGATGCTGAAGCCGTCCTGCCACAGGTGAAGAGTGCGCTCCTGAGGTTCGCCGGTCTGGCCTGGGGGGCCGCCAGAGCCCTCCTGGAAGGCATTCGGGTCGGGAATGCTGCGGCTCTCGGTGCCCTCACCGCCGAGGGTCTGGCCGGTGCCTCTGAAGGTAGAGCGGGAGGGTCCGGCCGGAGATGCTGTCTCGGGGCGAGAAGCGTTTCTGTAAAAGTCAGTGACGATCTCGGGTTGACTGTGACCAGCACTTACGCCTTTGCCTTGGCGAGGATGTCACTGATGATCTTCTTGGCGCCACCTCCCTCCTGTTGAGAAGGATCCTGCACGGCCAAACCAGACTTTTCTCCTCCAGCGAACAAATCACCCCTGCCTCTGTCGTCGTCGTCCTCGTCGTCCTCATCATCGTCGTCGTCATGCGCGTGGCCGCCTCCAAGGGAGCTCAGGGTGGCGAGACCCTTCTTCTTGGGTGCCTTGCTGGATGCAGCACCGCCGCGGGCAGCCTCAGGCGCAGGGCGGCCATCGAGGGTTCTGGGGCCGGTGTATGCTTCTGCGGCAGGGGCGGGCTGGGATGACGATGCGGCAGCACTTTGGGGAGCATCGTCTTCGGAGTCGTGGTCCGCGTAGTAAGCCTGGGCGGCGAGGCCAATGTCCCAATTTGCGGCTTCGAGGTACTCTGTGCACTGAGGAGGGTCAGCCAGGAACGCAAGCAACGAACGACGAGGTCGTATGGAACCGGCAAGCACGTACGCGAGCCTCGGGGAGGCCAGTCAGGCTGGTGAAGTCGCGCAGGATGTTGTTGCGCGAAGCGCTGTTGCTGCCGGACATGATGATGGCGGTTCTGTAGGTGGATGGTGGGGAAGAGAGAAGGAGGATTGCAATGAGAGACGAAGCGATGCAATTGTCGCTGCTGAGATGGATGAGTCGCGGCGAATGTCTTGACAGAGGTAAAATTAAGAAGGTGTGTCCCTTCAAGGTTGTGTCCTCCCAAGGTTACCTAAGGACGTGATTACCTGCGGTGGTGAATGGTGTTGGTGATGGACGGACTAGAGCAGGCAGCTTAGTGGTCGTAACTGCCTGAGTTAGAGCTTGCTGCTTCCGTTCCTGTACCTCTCTAGCACGTTCCCTGTGACGTGGGATGGAGCAACCCAGACCACCCAGGTGCACCTTCCAGAACCCCACCACAGCACCTTCCCTGAGGTGGGCGCCGCGGTGCAGCCGGATCAGATATCCACCGGACCCCGCGCTTATCTAATCTGCATCCATGGATCCCGTCTTGTCCCGCCTTGGAGAGCTCAGGCACCTCAGCTAGCTGTGATGATTTCCCGAAGTGAAGCCGGAGCTCTCCATCCTCGTCACAGCACCTCGCCCAGCGCCGAGATTCGGTAAACGTGCCTCGCTCGCCGTCGTTGGATCTACTCTGCGGTCACCAAGTAGCTCCCCAATATCCCGCCTCAACCATTTCCCTCCCATCCGATACGAAAAACCCCCCGTCGACGATGGCTTCCCACGACGACTCGCTCCACCCCCTGGCCGAGTCTGGCGTCACGATCCGCTCCGACAGCGAGCAGTACTCCCAGGCCGAGACCCCGTCCCCCCCGTCGTCGAACTCGCCAATCATCCTCTATAAGCCGCCTACCTTCTGGGGTCTGGTTCGCGGCGCCGCCATCAACCTGTTGCTGCCCTTCATCAACGGCATGATGCTGGGATTCGGAGAGCTGTTTGCCCACGAGGCGGCCTTCAGGCTAGGATGGGGCGGTACCAAGGTACGGCCAGACTGGACGATGCGCCTTCGCTGCTGCGCGAGAAGACTTGCGCATGATGCAGCTTTGGAAATGGCGATATGGACAGGACAGAGAAGCTAACACTCGGCAGGTCTTCCCCATGTCCAGGAGGAGAGCTCACCCCATTGGCCCCGGCCTGGAGGTCCGCGACAAGCGTCGCGCCCCGTCCCCGGGTCTCGACGACCTGACGAGCCTGGAATGACTAGGCGGATGGGAATGATGGCTTAGACGCACCGACGGCGCTCTTCGGGTGATGCTTCACAAGCACCACTGTTGTGACATCGTCTCTCGTCGGGGATGGCGATCCTGCCCGGCAGACAGGATATGCAGCAAAATGAACCAAAACCTGGAAGGAATCGTGTCTGGCAGAGAATAGACACAAATCATGCATCGGCGTACGGAAGATGGAGGGTGTACAAACAAGACCCCTAGACAGGCGGCGCGGACCGGGTGAAAGGGACGAGTCCAAGAATCTTGAATCGTACATACATGACGGTAGAATCAAAAACGAAACGAACCAATTATTCCCTCTTGTCTTCTGAATCTCCAAAAACAACAGCGTGCTGTTGACGAAAGCAACGAATCAGCTCCCTGTCATCCCTCATATCCAATGCTGACCCTCCGCCAGCCCGCCCCAGGCCCCGGGAGACGGAGCCGGGAAGCTTGGGCCACCCACCCGACGTTTTCCCGGCGCGTCTGCGGTCCCCAAAAATTTCCAGCAGCCGCGCATCTGTCGATAGCGACATCCTTCAATTCCCACCACACCCCTCTCCCCCCCTCACAATCGCCCACAATGCTGCCCAGCAGAGGCGTCCTCCGCTCCCTCCCCTCGGCGAGGGCGACCAGAAGCATATCCAGCCAAGCCGTACGCACCTCCCTCTTCCCCAATTGCCGGACCCAGTGCCCCCGCGATTGCATCCCAAGAAAAGTCACAGGCTAACTCCATGGCCAGATCTCTAGGTCACCCAGACGACTCGGCGACGGACGTAACTTCAGCTCCCTGCCCACTACCGCCAGCGGCGCCGCCCCCTGGGCCGGTTTGAGGGCTTCAAGCGGCAGACTCGCCGGCACCGTGGCCATCGGCGGCGCCCTCCAGACCCGACGAGCCATCTCCCTCTGGGGCAAATCCGAGCCCGCACCCCAACAACCAGCCCAAATCCAGACACCACCGGCACCCTCACCACCCGTCGAGCCCGCCGTCGAAACCGTCGCTGCCGCCTCAGCCGCCCCCGCCCCCGAGCCCGTCTCCATCCCCGCCGAGCCGTCAACCCTCGTCGACCCGACGGCCTCCTCCCTCCCCTCCATCGACGCCGCCACCCTCCTCGACCTCCCCGAGCAGATCGGCTACCTCAAGACCCTCGGCCTGGACTTTGGCTGGGGCCCGTCCTCCGTGATGCAGTGGGCCCTCGAGCACGTCCACGTCTACTCCGGCCTGCCCTGGATCGGCTCCATCACCGTCACCGCCGTCCTCCTCCGCCTCCTCCTCCTCAAGCCCCTCCTCAAGGCCCAGGAGACCTCCGCCAAGCTCCAGCTCGTCCAGCAGAACCCACAGTACGAGGCGCTGAAGAAGGCCTCCGTCGAGTCCCTCAGTATGGGCGACACGGCGCGCGCGCAGGAGATCCGCCGCGACCTCACCACGATGAACAAGCGCGCCGGCGTCAACCCCTTGAACGCCGCCTGGGGCTTCCTCCAGATCCCCTTCGGCTACGGCATGTTCCGCGTCCTCAACGGCGCCTCCAGCATCCCCGTCCCCGGCTTCGAGAACGGCGGCTTCGGCTGGATCACCGACCTCTCCGTCCCCGACCCGCTGTACATCCTCCCCATCCTCGGTCCCATTTCCATGTTCGCCATGATGAAGGTAAGAGCCCGTGTTCCTCCCCTCACTCCGCAACTCAACTAACAAACCACTATAAGACCGCCGGCGCAAACGCCTCTCCGCAACAAAAGGCCCAACAGAAGATCCTCATGTGGGTCATCGGCCCCATCTCCGTCGTCGTGACCCTGTACCTCCCCGCCGCCGTCCAGTGGTACTTCTTCGTCTCCGGCCTCATCGGCGTCGTCCAGAACTACACCCTCACCCGCCCCTCCATCCGCCGCGCCCTCGGCCTCCCCGTCGTCGGGCCCTCGGGCGGCCGCAGATACAACGGCGGCAGCATCTCCACCACGGCCACCTACCAGGCGCCGTCTCCGCGCCCGGGCTCCGAGGACGGCTCCCTCAAGGGCGTGGTGTCCAGCATCCAGCAGACGATCCACAACGCAAAGGGCGGCGCGGGCAACTACCTCGAGGCCCAGGAGAGGAAGGCCGCCGCCAAGGAGGCTGCGGAGCAAGCGTTGCGGAAGAAGAAGGCGCTCAAGCAGGAGACGTACGGCCGCCGGAGGTAGAGAGGTTTTATTGTGGATGAACGGGTTTGAGAAACCGCGGTGTGTTTGTTCCATGAACAGTGTACATCTAGATCGTTCCTGGGGATGCGTCGTAAATTCCCCCATGAAAATGAGCGTGCGGAAGGCGAGGGGGGTTGGAGAGGGGAGAAACTGTACCATATGGGAGAGGCTGTGTGTGTCCATCTGGATACCATGTAACCTTGCATCAAGGGATAATAAAAGAATCACTCCCCTGAAGCTCTTACGCAAATTTGTCTAGATGCTGTGTGGCTCAATCTGATGTGTCTTGTAAGCCGCCAACCCTGAACATTGTCGGGGCTCACTTGGTGGATGTGGGCTTTGAGATGTGATGAGTGAGACCAACTTTCCTAGCCACAAAAAGCCCACAACGCCGGCCATCCCGACTTCTCTCCCGGGACATTGTGAATGTTCTCAACACGCGTCTGAGTTCATGAGCATTGTGTACATGACCTCACCAGCAGCCTTTGAATACCTCTACACCGAAACACCTCTTTAGATCCGTGAATCCTCGCCAGAAAAGGTGCCATCGCCAGCCCACCCTCTCCCACTTTTCCACCTCGATATGAACTCTACCCGGTACAAGGCCTCACTCGTCATCCCTTGGGAAAGCCTCAGGCCCTCCACGAAGTCTTGAAACTACACAGGATACAGCAGACAATGAGCCATGCCTTGCCATAGAGACAAGCAAGGTCATACTCCACTGCATGAGTCCGCCAATCCAAAGTTCATATGCATAGGCTTTAGATATACCCGAACATGTGGTTGTCCATGGGTACCCACGGGTTTGTATTTGGATCATGGGTAATGGGTAATGGGTAATGGGTAATGGGTAATGGGTAATGGGTAATGGGTAATGGGTAATGGGTAATGGGTAATGGGTAACCATGGGTATCATGAAGCCCAAAGTCCATATCCCCTAAAATTTGCAACTCAAACGCCTCATCCAGCAAACCTTCTCCCTCCTCTGACTCATTCAGAAGCCTATATCAATGAGAGCAAGTGGAAAGAAGACCTTAAGCAACATTGCATCCATCAACCATTTCAGGGTAACGCAGTGCTCTGGTACACACCACAGACTTTTCCATAACTCGAGAGGTGTTCTCTTTCGTGCCACGAAGAAATGTCTAAACATTCTTTCAAAAACATTTCCCCTGTTTGAAGTTGAGGGATTTTGAATAAAGTATACGTGCGTTCATGTTTAAGCTAGAAACCGAAAATTGTTGTTGCAATAACAGCGAAGGAAAATCAGATCTCAAAAGCCTGTAATGAAAACGCTTCCCAACGACTCAAAAAAACTCTATCTTTAGACAGAGCATTCAATCCCGAAACTTATCCTGACCATCGTCTCAAAGCACTCTACACTGTCCGACTTCAACAGCAACCACCCGTCGCGGTCCCGCAGGCTCGGACCCATATTTATCGGCGCCGATGCCCGCATGGGTCTCCCAACTCCACAAGGCCGGCTGAAAATTCTGCACCACCCGCCCGCAGACCTTCTCAGACACACACAACCACCCGTATCATCAACAATCACTGGTTTCGTGGTGTAGTTGGTTATCACGTCAGTCTAACACACTGAAGGTCTCCGGTTCANCCAGTGTTCCACTGAAGGTCTCCGGTTCAAGTCCGGGCGAAATCAACCCTTGGGCGAATGGGTTAGTGGTATAATACTCGCTTAGCATGTGAGTGGTCCAGGGTTCGATTCCCTGTTCGTCCATTCTTTTGCTTATCAGTCAGTTCGCGCTGACCATTTTGCTTTTGATAGTTCTGTTGCTTCGTCCTTTGCTTTAGAAGGTCCTCACAGAAGGCAGGCAGATCAGAAGTGTTGTGGTGGCGCTAGCGTCTCAGGGTGGCTTGAGTGAAGATGCTCAGTGGAGGCGTGAAAGGCTGGACCCTATCACATTCTACCGTACCCAACTGCTGCCGGGCGTTGTGTAGCCGGACGCGATGGTGTCCGGATCCTTAGTGAGACATTGTATCTATCACACGCGCTGATGAATTACCGGATGACGAGAGGTCAGGTCAAATATCGGACCGCTCGCGAGCCGCGCTCGAGCTCCCGTGGCCATCTAAAGCTGCTCAATAGACGTGCGCGAATGGCAGATCTTCTCCCTTCAGATCGTTGCGATTATGACAACTAGTCGCTCGAGCTGTCGCGTAGATCGATCAGTGACCGCGCTGAAGCCAGCCCACTACCGGCAGTGGCAAGAGCTGATCTCGCCCGTTCTCCCCGTGGACGCCAATAGCACCTCAAGACCCAGGACGCCGGCGCTCAGCATGGCCACCTCGTGGCAGCATCGCGCAACTCGGCATCGTCCCCGGAACCGGACTAGGGGGCGATGCTTCGCCCGGCCTCAGCAAGCCTTCGAGCATGGAAGCGAATAGGGGCTGTCCAGTTAGGATTCCCGAAAGCAGAACTTCTCATCAGGGAGAATGCAGGCCGGGAGCGGAGTCGTGTAAAACAGCGCAAGTCACAAAGGACACGGCAAGCCCAACGGGAAAATTAAAGTGAACGTGTGGTCAAGGAGCTTCCGTAACGAGTTAGTCGAGCGAGGCCCTGAAGTTTTCAAAATTCGAGAAGACTGGGTTTCCTGGGCTGGGCAACACTGTGCACAATTAGATCTGAGCTTGGTGGCCGGGGGCTAAGAGTTGCGTCGGGGGTGAGCGGGGAGGGTCTGGACGAACAACCCGGTTCGGTGAAGAAAGTGGCACGAGCCGACGGGTGACCCTTTCAATGGCGTCCAAGGGTTTTGACGCGGCGCCATATAGCTGGTGTCGATGTCGCTCAACACCGGCGCG